GGGGATGCGGCGTGGCTTTGCTCCATAACGCCTGCCCCCCAGGACTCACACCGCTGATGATCGGTGGATAGTAGAGAAATCCGTGCCCATATGCCATTCGTAGCTGGGTCACGTAATCTGTCCCGTTTATTGTAGGTTTACTAAGCAGAGTCGTCATCTTCTCACCGATCAATTTTCCGCTGATGACCTGAAAATAGGAAAATGTACAAATCAACATCATGTCAATACCATCGTTTTGAAAAGTGCAAGAGATATAGGGCATAATGACCGGCTAGTGGGTTTACACTCTGATACGCTCTTATTTATATATAGGGTATTTCAAAAAAAATGTGCACACTGTTTATCGCTAACAACTCGCTGTGTTCAACAAAATTTTCGGCAGATTTTGAGTACCTGAACTGATTTTTTCCCATTTTTCTCTGTGCAAGCAGAGCATAGAGGAGAGCAAGAAAGGTGCCGTTGGAAAGTGCATGAGTTACGCTTTCTAATCGCATTTTTGCCCTGCAAAACTATCGCGACAATAAGAAATTACGATTTTTTGAATATCGTGCGACAAAACTTTACAAAAATTTTGAAAACACCGATTGGCCATAGCTGTGTCCATCCACTTCTTTTTTATCATCGCTGTTTTTTCCTCAACGTTTTGAACCTCTACACTCGCGGAGAATGAAACATTTGCTACATCGTTGACCTTTTACGGTTTCGAAAAAAAAAAGATTTGCTTTATTTTTCGTTGCCTTAGAATGTGGTCTATGAAGAAGCAACTAGATGAGTTTTCAAGCACTTAATCTGTGAAAGGATTCCCTGAGAATTCTTGATTGGTCAGTTCGCGAACCATTGAAATCCAAAAAATGGATTTCTTTCCTTTGTTCAAACCCGTAGAAGGCGCAGGTTATAGCGAATGTTTTGAATTGTTTATAGAGCCTTAGAACTTTTTCGCTTGCGACTTGTGACTGCCATTGTTGTGACGCCTAAAATGGATTACGGTGAATGTACGGCAAAACTTCTGCAATATAGAATCTTCGACGTGAGAGAGGAAGAAATCAAAATGTAATGGATCAACATGAACAGCTAGCGTGTGTCCAGAGCATGAAAGCCGCCTTATGATCCAAACATTTCGAGTCAGTTCCTTCCAGTTACCCTTTATCGTCTTCTGTATGATTGCAAACTTCATCACTTTCCAATTATGGGATAGGAGGATAAGATTTTTCACTAGTTCTTCAAGAATGCTGTAATTTGGTTGAATTGTACCGCGAAATTCCAAATTGAGCATCAGAAAATGCCTCACGGTGGGTCGACTTCTCATGGAAGTTAATAGTCGTTTTATAAATTACATAAATAGCAAATATTTATTACCTGAAGCCAGGGCTCGGCACGAAGTGGCTTTCCGAGGAAAAAACGAAGTCTCCCTTGCTTTAGCAAAATTTTACGAACGCCTCTTTGACCCTAACTTCTAAACGTAAAAATCCCTTAAATTAAAAACGTCTACTAAAAACGTCGCAATTCTTGTATCTTTTCAGCCTCAAAAACGAAATCCCCTTTACATTTTGTCCCAAAACGGTATCCAGCTTGCTTTCAAGCCACTTGTGCCGAGCCCTGCCTGAAGCTATGTGCAAATGAAAACAAAGTGACAGTCTTTCTATTCAACTTTTCGTTCTTGATAAATACGCTCAAGGTGCACAATAGAAAATAAAAATAAAATTGTCTTGCTTTTTCCACCGTCTCATTGCATTGGTTTACATTCATCCCCTTTATTATTCCATTTGTGAGGTGGCACATCTTATATGATATCTTTCTCTAGATATACAAATGATTAAGATGCAAATAAACAAATGAATGTAGTGATGAGACTCAAAACTAATATAATATCATTCTCACCAAGTTGAACATTTTCGCCAGTGATCGAGCATTCCCTATACCGAGCGCCGCGGCTTGCTCCATAGCGTGGTGTTCCGGATTGTTCATTGCAGTCTCGTTTGCAAGCAGCCAAGAAGGATTGTTCGTTCTCTTCATTGGAGTATCCTGCATCGAAAGTTTATGCTGTAGTTTTGAACTGATTCTTTGAGTCACCTCGTTTGTCAAAAAATAACGCAAAAGGAAAACCGCAACATGGTAGTCATGGAAAATTTCCTTTAGTATGACAGAAATCTTTATTGGAGAAGTGTGGGCCACACGGTACTCTTCGGAAGGATTGAGGCCAATGTGAAAGTCAATGCCTGAAATTTTTGGGAAAATCAACCCGACTCCAACGCTACTTTCATGACTGGATATCTAATGTCAAGAAGTTGATGGAAGCTGTAAAATTGTAAACATCTAGAGATAATTTTAAAAAGTTAGTCATCCATAGGCAGAAAGGTCTGACCAGGGTTTCCGCGTAACCTAAAATG